TCCCCACTCTGTCTCTGGTGAATCCTCTCACCCTCCGCATCTCTGGCATGTACCCCAGTTCTATATGAATAAATAAATAAATCTTTAAAAAAAAAGCTATATTTCAAAAAATTCCAAGTTTATAAGATAAAATAATGAATAACAAATATCAATTATATCTTCCTTGTTAGACTTGTTCATATAAATGGAATTTACTGATGAATCAAAATAAATGTATACTACAAAGTAACAATCTTATTGTAAACTGATATTCTGCTTTATGTATTAATCTCTTAAATAAGTGAATGTTATTTTTTTGTCTAAAATTCTGAATATTGAGACACAATTTTTCTAGACTGTAAATATGATGTTAACCCAAGATCATAGTGGCCCCCAAATATTTTCACTGTCCTCTTAAACTTTGGACCCATCAGCAGAGCTTCTCAGAGCTTCATGCATTTGCTTTTCCCCTATGTGAAGTATTAAGATCAGTAGGACTCACTCAAGAGAATATGGCCTATTATTCCAGGCAGGGAGTAAAGTTTGAGTTAATACGCAGAGACAGCCTAAAAGGCAGTAAAGGACAGAGAACTTGTTACTGTCCCACATTTGTGCCTGAATCCCCCAGTCCCCCCTTCTCTCACAGCCCAATCCTAGGACATTGAAACTTGACACTCACTGCCTTAACTGTTTGTTAAGTTCATATCTAAACAACTAAGACAAGATTATGAAAGTAGGGTTAGGCATCACTCTTTTCTAGCATGTTCCACACAGATTATAACTTCATAGATACCTCACAAATCACCATCTTTTGTGATACAGAGAGATGTAAATCAACAGTAACCTTTCTTGTGGTCTACAAGTCCCCCTATTTGACTAACTCCACAACTTTCTCTCCTTTTTCCATTTGGAGGTTGATCTCTCTACAGTGTAGTTCCAGGCTCTTTCCACAAGGTTGGATGAAAGAAGACATTCACTGCCTTAAGCTTAACACTGAAAACAGACTACCATGCAATTCCCTTAAAGAGAGGCCACAGTCACTCAAAACAAGATGGGAGTCACAGAGAACTATTCTCAAAAGAGAACAGTCAGAAAGAGAAAGACATTTAATCCTAAAATTAAATTTATTTAGATTTAATCCTAAGAAACCCATAGATTTAATCCTGAGAAAGTAAATTTATAAGTATAAAACTCAAAAGGTGCCAAGTTCAGAAAGGAGGTCGGTTTATACTTAACTTACAAAAGTGTCTTTTTGCCCTACAGTGTCTAGAAAATTAGAAACTTTATTTCCCAAGCTTTTGGGCAACGAAGGTCTTGCATGTGACTTAGGTTCTGGTGCCTAAAAAAAGATGGAAAATGAGGAGAAAGAGTCTTCAGAGGGTGGTGGGAATGATTCCATACACGCGGAGGTAGTTGAGCTAAAGTTACACAGCGGGTATTCAGCATCATCGGTATAAAGCTGCAGGTGGCAGCGGCAATGGCTTGCCAGATAGTTTGTGATGAATGTTATTTAGCACCGTCCCTGCCCCCTCTGCCATTCTTTGTATTCAGTGCCCTGAACTTCGAAACACATTTTCCAGACTCTCATAACATCTGTTTTCAATGAAGGCCCTATCAATTTGATTTACTGGTAGATTAGCAAACAGCCAAGAACAAAGAAGCCAAGAGTGAAATAAAGTAAGGTCCATGGAGTAGGCTAGAGCAAGGATTCGGAAGGTACCCAGGCCCCTTTCTCACTCACTGGCCCTGTGTGTGCTTTGTCACATTCTCCCTAGCCTGAATTCATATTTTCTCGGCATCTCAGTCCCCTGTCATTGTTCTGACTTGGCCACTTTCTCTCAGATTCTGCTCATAAATTTTCTGCTACCTAGGATCACCCTGTTCCCAAACTTGCATAAATCTTAACCTTTCTTCAAGGTGCAGTTCAAGCCCCACCCCCCTTCCAAGGCCTACCTCTGTGATGATGCCCTCTGGCAGTAGTTTGCCAACCTTAGCGTTGTCCACCGGTCTATCACCTGGCACAACTACTTTCCAATTGTTCTCTCTCCTTTTTTTTTTTCTTTCACGGAAACTAAAGTTTTTATTCCACAAATCTAAGAGAAAGATCTCACAGTAAATGCCATATTTGGAGCCCTTGTCTGTGCAGAGCCTGGCACAGAGGTTAGTATTAGTTGAATAAGAGAATAAATTAAAAGGTGAATTTGCAAATGCTTGCCCTATAGCTGAGAGAGACAGCCTACGTCTGAGGAACTTAAAAGAACAAGCGGTTGCAGGTCGGCGGGTGTCCTAAAACGAGGAGAAACCCAAGTGATGTCTCGGTTTCATCTTTCACCGATTGTGTTACGTTGGGCAGACTTCTTCAACCTTAACACAATGGTAGGTGAGAGCTAGTAGATTGAATTTCTAATGGGAGAGACGATCTCCAGATATTTGCTCACTAAATATCAGATACTGTACACTAAGGCTGGCCCAGCGTTAAAGCCGTCCTTTTCTGAGAAAGGAGCAAAGCTGTTGTCCGCGAGGCCCTATAGCTCAGGGGTTAGAGCACTGGTCTTGTAAACCAGGGGTCGCGAGTTCAAATCTCGCTGGGGCCTAAGCCGCCTTTCTTATTGTTTTAAAATCTGAAAACACCGCACTTCCCTCTAACACCTTCCGGTAACTTCAATCACCGCGGATATCCCACTAATTATGTCTTCTGGTCTAAGTTCCGAATCAACGCCCGCCGAGCTTTTTCTTAGGTTCCAGTTCTAGTGCGCAGGTGCCGTTTGCTGCCTGGAATGTGGTGGAGGCCATTACAAACTGGGCAGCGGCTCCAGCCTCCGCCGACGCCCTGGCCGCGCAGACCCGCCGCGAGACCTCTGTCAGCGGAGGGAACCCGAGCCGGACGGGGGCGGCGGGAGTACAAAATGGGGCCCTCAGCCCCCTGCCGGGGCAGGTTGAGAGCCGAGAACAAAGTCCTCTTCGTTAAGGGGAGGAGCCGGCCTCGGCGGTCCGTACCTCACCGGCTGTCCCGCAAGGCTCGGGTTTCCGACACGTTTCCCTTCGGTATCTCAGGGTGGGGAGAACTATGGGCCATACTTGAAGTGTGGGTCACTACATTTGTTTCCCAAATTGTGGTTTCCCCTTTGAAAAACCTTAAACTATTGTCTCCTGAAGTCAGTTCTCACACACACTTGGGGCTTATCCATGTTTTCTCTGGCAACCCTGTCCTTCCCTGAGTCTGGGCACACGCGGAAGAGCGACGCAGCTCGCCTGGGTGCGCAGGCCAGCACAGGAAGGGAGCCGAGGCCCGGGCCCCAGGTCGGAGGCCGGCCGCTCTCCCTGGCGCGCAGTTGCACGGTCAAAACTGCGCGTCCCAGCGCCTCAGCGCCTCAGCGCCTCAGCGCCCCGGGGCTCCGAAGCCGGAGACCCGCGCCCGCGGTCTCCACATAGTCAACATCCGGCGGCGCTCTCTGCACCCGTCAGCCCTGCTCACAAGGCCTTGGCGAAGCAGGGGGGTCCGTTCCAGAAGGGTTGTCTCCGGAACTGCGCAGACCTGCTCACAATCTGTAGCTGAGTATCGCGGAGGTATCTGCTCAGTTGCAACCAACAAATTCGCAGCCACCCCCGTTTATCCGTATCCTGAAGAGACGACTGTTGGCGGCGTGTTTCTGTGCTCCCTTCGATAGCTCAGCTGGTAGAGCGGAGGACTGTAGAACTACTCGTGTGGTCATCCTTAGGTCGCTGGTTCGATTCCGGCTCGAAGGAGAAGCTCCTGTTTTGGGAGAGCTCGCAAATTGCCCCAGGAAGCTCTTGGTCCCAAATTTCTTCCCTGATATGCTGGAATACCGTTCTCCAAACTTTACCCGTTTCTGAAAGCAATCCTGAGCGTAGTCGCTATTATTGAGCTTCACACACGACATCTTGAAAAGTGGACAATATTCTCGGACACTCTGAGCCAATTTTTTCAGTCTGTTGGCAAAGTTTTGAGTTGCTTCAAGAACACTTGTGAGTTCTCTCTACACACACACTGAACACGCACTGCACGGATCCACCTCCCACCGACCCCGGCTCCCGGCATTTCCATGCCCACCAGTCCTCCTCCCAGAGTGTTACGCTCTCTTGACGTAGGAGCAGGTACAAGTCCCGGGGCTCAGGATGCTGCAGCAGGCAAAAATGAGCTCCGCTGAGGCCTCGGACGCAGGATGTCCACGGCCTTGAGCTCACGTCTAGACCCCGTCCGCGATTGGGTAGAGGGGCTCAGGCGCAGGGCCTGAGGTCTGAAGTTACCCCTCCTTGCCCGACAGGCGCCCGAGGGGCCCAGGATGCGGATCGGGAAAATAAGCGAGGCTAGGGTCAGAACAGATGTGGACCTCGCGAGGATGGGAGGAAACACTCAACCAACAAAATGTAATTGTCATAGCTGAGAATAAAACTCCGAAGTAGGAGGGAAACTGAAAGCTACCCAGAAAGTAAAGATCAGAGGAAACAAAGACACCCCGTTGTATCGCGGCTCGTTGGTCTAGGGGTATGATTCTCGCTTTGGGTGCGAGAGGTCCCGGGTTCAAATCCCGGACGAGCCCTACTTTTGAAATTTCTTTTTAAGTGCTGATCGGTCGAAATTTTGTGGCGTTCCGAATTGTTGTACCAAAGACAGGTACTCTGATCCCACATTGGCCGATGGCGCTGGTGACCAGGGCGAGACTTCTGGCCTCTGGGACTCCGCCAGCGGACGCCTGGGAGCCGCTGCCTGCTTCTGCAGAACCGAGGCCATTGTCTGGCTGGCCGCAGCGCGTGGGGCGGGCTGGGTGCGGCTGCAAATCTCCGGGCTCGCTCGTGGGCAGGGACCCGCCCGCCACGCTAGGGTAGGCGGCTGCTGTGGTGTCTCCAGAGGCGGGTCTCCAGGCTGGCGGGGCCTTCTCTAAGAAACAGGGTGCAGTCCCAACCCCCGCAGGTTGCCACTGCTCGGCTCACTGCACCCCTGCAGCCCATCCGGTCAGTGTACAGGCACACACGCGCAAGATTCAAAAGTTCGTTTGTGGTTTTCTAAAGAGGAAGACGCGGGCGAGAAAGAAAAACTTTTTCCATCGTCCTGCGGGTTTCTGCAGCCGTATTCCGAAGCCAAGGTGGGTGCCAACTCTTCCCGCTCCTTTTTGGTCGCTTTAGGCAGAGCGTTTTGGCCTGGAGGTGCCCCTTGCTAGCAAAGGCCGTGTGGGGGTCCTCCTGAAGCATTTGCGACTGGAGATGCTGAGGTGGGGAGCAAGGTAGAAGGGAAGCAGCAAGGTAGGCGTCCTGCCCCTGTAAGAGTTAGTGATTCCCATTCCTACCCAAAGCTGCCTTTCACCGCTGGGCAGAGCGGCCAGCACGAAAGCCTATTGCCTAGAACTCGGGGCGCTGAGGCCGGCCTCAGAATTGGCAGACCAAAGGGATGTCTGCAATGCCTGCACTTGCTCAAAACTTAAGTATTTGCTTGACACCCAGGTCGATCGCCACATTCACGATGTAGGTTGTTGTAGGGTTGTTGCTAGAGCAAGTGACATTTGGGGACTATTATTTTCGTGTTCTGTTTACTCACCTCTGTCTCCTCACCCTTAGCCCACTCTAAGCCAGGGTTGTGAAACTCTCGGAGACACGTTGCCAGCCAGCCTCTTTGAGCTTTCTTACTGGAACTCCACTTTCTCACTCTGAGACAGCACATCAAATGGCAATGGGCTCATGGATAAAGCAGAACATCTTTATCTAGGAAGTACAGTAAAAAAAAAAAAACAGTTCAGAACCATCCTGGGGACTAGGGAAATCTCAAATGAGCCAAGATTTTCCTTCTGTGCCATTAATACCCTTGTAATCAAGTCATAAATTGTTATCACTAGAAATCCAGTGATAATTATCTGAACAGCACATGAGCAACTTCCCAAAAGTAACCTCCGCTGTCAAAGAGCTACTTAGCTTTGCAGTTAATAACTAGTTAGTTGGTGCAAATGAATCATAGTGGCACAATCCTGTATTAAGCAGTTTCTTTTAGAAGTAAAGGGGGAGATGTATAGTTTTGGAATTTATGGAACTATTCAAAGTTGTTTTCCCTTAAGCAACAAAAGTACCTTTAATTTTCTAGAAATAACTATAATGGATGATGAAAGTCCTGTGGTGCATTGGGAAGTTAGTACCAGGAACTCGGGAACTTTTGTGGAGACAGGATCCTATTTTCATGTGAGCTTTGTTCACCTTTAACCATTACTTATGTTATTACTAAGTACACTTTATGCCTCTGTAGACCTAAAATTTTTTTATAAAGTCATTTAGAGATTTGTCACTTCCCTCCATTACCTAATTTTATAATTAGTCTTAAGACCAGAATGAAACACATATGCTTTCTATAAAAGGGGAAAGCTCACCTGCACTAGAAGGGGGGCTGAATGAAGCTATTGGCTTGAAGGAGAGCCAGAAAAACATTTCAGCAAAAGTTCCTAGGACAATACATGGTTTCTTCTTTCTTTTCTTCTACTGTGAAATGAAGGGCTGGCAAGATGGTTTCCATTCTCCTTCTCTTATTCTCTGTGTGGGTGGCAGAGGATTATATAAAAGAAGGCACCCCGCCCTCTTCCAGAAGAGGAGAGGAAGGGCTTTTGTCAAGTTATTGTTGGGAGTGTGAAGGGGAAGGATGTCCTAAAGGTTCTGCAGAGTCTTATGGACTCCACCCCCTACTCCAGCTTTCTGGACCCTACCCCCTACTCCAGTCATTGGATGCTACAACACCCAGCAGTACCTGGGAGAGAACTGCGAGGACCCAAGGGTGGAGCTAGCAGGAATTCTGGGACATTTGGGGGATAAATAGGGTGCAATTGCATCTGTCGCTCTCTTTCTCGGGAAACGGCTCTCCTGACCGCTTGGTGTGTTCAGTCAGCCTATCCGTAGGTATTCCAGTGACTTTGTATCCCGCTCTCTTTCCCTGTGTTGTTTCCTATTCCTTTCCCCTTCTGTAAGTAAACCTGTTATTGACCCTTTTGTGTGTACCTGCAGTATAACTGAATTGTGAGCGTGCAGGTGAGGCCCCACAGACAGGCGGGCTAGTCTACTCTGGGCTCCCCTGTAACAGGAGCACTGGCTGGTGTGACTTATAAGTTAGAGTAGATGGATAAGAAAGTTGATCAAAGTAGACTGGTGAAACCCTTCTTTAAGAGTTTCACCTAATCTGAATCCAAGCAAAATAATCTCCGTAAACAGTTATCTCAGAATATCTTGAAATGTCTGGAAAAGAGAGAAAAGGGCAGAGAACCCAGAGTTTGTGGGAAGGTGAATATTTAATTTTTCTGTTTATTTGGAAACATAGGTGTGCCCACAGAACTTTGACCCCACTCTGCCTCAGGAACAGTACCAGTTTTGTGGAGATAGGATCCTATTTTCATGTGTCCTTTAGCCATTACTTCTGTTATTACTAAGTACACTTTATGCTTCTGTAGACCTAAAAAAAAAATTTCTAAAGTAATTTAGAGATTTGTCACTTCCCTCCATTACCTAATTTTATAATTAGTCTTAGGACCAGAATGCAACACATATGCTTTCTATAAAAGGGGAAGGCTCACCTGCACTAGGAAAAGGGAAATGACTTTCATGCTAAAGCATTCAGAACATTTTTAGCTGTATGTTTTTTCACGTGACAATTACTTCACACCTTTTTGAAATAATTGACAAAAATTTAATGTTTATTAATGATAGATTATATTCCTTGTATTTTGAAACACAGATGAGCGAGCACACAGATGCATTTTGTTGAAATAGTAAAACTTTTTCCCCAAAATCTTTTTCTATATTTAAATTTTTTTTAATTGAGATAACACTGCCTCATAAAATCATGTAAGCTTTGGGTCTGCATCATTATAAATCAATACCTGTATTATGGTAATTCACTAAAATTCCATTTCTGTCCTTCACCTCACATTGACCCTTTTTACCTGATTTGCTTACTTCTTCCCCCTTTTTTCTTTTCATAACCAATAATTGGAGTTTATAATCTAAAAGTTTATTTGTGTTTCATTTACTTCATCCATTTGTTTGATTTCTCTATATCCCACATATGAATGAAACCATACAGAGTTTGTATTTCTTCAGCTGACTTATTTCACATAGCACACTACCCTCTAATTCCACTCACATTGTTGCAAATGGCAGGAGTTCATCTTTTTCATAGCTGAGTAGTAATCCAGTCCGTGTGGGGAGAGGTGTGCATGTGTAAATAAATATACATCCACCTCTTTATCCAATATTTGGTTGATGGGTGCTTAGGAGGTTCTGTTGCTGTTAGGGGCGGAAACCTTGGGAGTGGTGTGAGAGAAAAAATACTCCGAGAGAGGCCTAGAGGGGGCTCTTTCTTTAGAGATACAGCACCTTCCCCTCACAGCAAGTCTCACATTTACTTGGGGCTCAGATTCAGGAAAGGTGAGCAAATCCATGGAAGAATGAGTGAAGGAATATGTGTGATGGAGATGTGGGTTGGGGAAGGCACCAGCTGGGGAGTGTGAATAGGGGCTGTTGCTTTGGGGGGGGGTCCATTGTTGCTGTTGATCAATCCATCTTATCTGTAGCCCTTGTTTTACACTTAACTTCTGTCAAGGTGGTCTTGCTGGTTATGCTAATCTGGCATAGTGTCACTTGCTGTTTTCAACAGCTGGCCTGTTACCAAGACTTTTGTCCTGGTGAGAGACCCTTTGCCTGACTCTACATTTTAGCTTGACCAACAGTATCTTTGGGCCCAGGCAAAATCCTAAGAACTAGGGGGCCTGAGGGATCCATAATGTACTAACTCTTGGCAACTTTAAATACTTGGCTCTTATTTTCTGTTTCATCATAACTGTATTGTGCCAAACTGAAATGAAAAACAATTACAATGAAAGCAGTCACTCCTTTTCACCCACTGGCTTTTTGCATTGGCATCTATGTGGTGAAATCTCCAGAAGCAGGAAGGGACTGGGGCCTGAACCCCAGAACATGGTCTCTTGGTGCTTGAGCTGGTGTTTCAGGCTGTGGGACTGTGTGTGTGAGAGAGAGATGGGAGTTGGATGGGGTGGCTGATCTCTATTTTTAAGCAGAAAAGAGCCACGTTTTCTGTGTTTAAGCAGAAAAGAGCCACGTTGATGAAGCTGGAAGTTGGCAGCTTCTTTTCTTGGGGACTGCTGAGTCATAGGGTGTGACTGTGGGCTGGCAGTTGCCCAGAACCCCCACCACCAACAACAAATTATTGGTTGTTAACTTTTTCAAACTCAGATTCTCAGTATCTGTTTCAAAAGCGGTATAGGTTTAATTTAAAGTAAGTGCCAATCTAAAATCTGGAATGGCATATTACAAATATACAAAGGTGCATTGGGGCCCTGTCTAAGATGTGGGGCCAGTGGTGGCCCCAACCCCTGGGTCCCCTGGCGCATTAGTTCTCTTTGTTCCTAAAAGACTTGGAATGTTGGTGTGGGTCGTCCTGAGTTCATATACTGAGAAAAAGGTTGTATGTAGCAGTGTGCATGGTCTTCTCACTACCCCCCTACCTTTTTCCTTTCAGCTCATGATTTGGGCAGGGGCTACAGGGAAAAGGGAAGAGGACAGCGTGGTGGGGGTACTGTGGGACTGTGCCCCAAAGAAGCTGAAAGCAGGTGAATATAGGTCCTTTTCTAGGTTCTCCATGCTGCCCCCCTCTCCTCCTCCTGAAATCAGGGGGAGCCCTAAGGAAAACTGTTCTGACAATAGGCTGAAAAGCACCCAGCTGAAGATATATAAACTGCTGACAGTTGTTTAGAGTGATAGCCCCTAGGGTTTTTGCATTAGAACATCAACCAAAACCTCAAAAAGTCTGTAACTGGCCTCCCAGAAATTATCAGCAAGCAGAGACTTTCTGGGAACCTTGGGAGCCTTCCTTTTCTACTTGGGTATAGGGCCGGCCTTATTTGGTCACTGCTACCAAACCCACTCATGTCTGTAACCATGTTTGGAAGCCTAAGAGAAGCCAGGGCTGTGTGTGAGATTGCAGACTCCAAGGTGAGATCAATGTTGCATTCCTAGACACAACGAGCAATAACAAAACAACAGGAGGCCAAGGTGTCAGTCTTGATTTTGATATACTAAGAATGTAGATTACTTTCCTCCC